TGTAATGATAAAAAGATACTGAGAAGCCTTTAAATGTTATTTTTCTTGTGACTTGTACGTCATTAAGTGGGTTATAAACTGGTTTACCCTTTTTTTCTCTTAATGCACATGCTTTCTTCAGCTTAAATGACATGTCTTTCACAAACCACTCCTCAGACTTGTGCCAAAATATCCATTTAACAAAAGGCATTTCAAAACCCTTTGCTTCTGTAATCCTCCTCTTTCCCTCTAACCTCTTTCTGTCATCCCCTGTTACACTCAGATTTGAGCGCTCTGGGGCAAGGACACATCTCAATAGTATGGGCTCATCCACTCTAAAAGTAGTATTAAACACGCACAATACGCTGCACCAAAAGATGGAGGAAAAAAGAAAATTCAATACCTTCCCACCCCCAAATACTAGTAAACAAACACCCTTACTGTTACCGAGCAGTTCTTTCTTGCCTTGAACAGTTACATTATCCTGCCAAAGCGCACAGAACACCTTCATTCCATAACGCATATATAATGGCTATAAATGCCATTCCTGAGGCAGGAGAGTTGTTAGCATCCCCCCTTTCTCCGCAGCCTTTTCCTGTTGACAAGACTCTTCTGGAAGTCTCTTCTTGCTAGAGTTTAGTGGTCTTGGTTTTTTGCAACAAAATATGAGGAGATATGTGTCCATTCATACATTTACATTTAAACTTAGCGAGATGGTTTGTGAGTTACCATGTCTGACAGCTGTTTTAGACTGAATCTTCTCCCTGTGACATTTATTTTACCAGGCTGCTGTGTGCTCATCTGGTACAATGAATACGAAGTATTCCTATAGGATTTGCATTAATTAACTGGAAAAAAAGAGTGGCTATTCAGTCACCATTACATCATTTTAGTTAGGAGGGTGCTTTTAGAGTGACTAACAGCACTGAAGTTGAAAAGTCTCTTTTTTTCCCCTTCAGCATGCAGGTGAGGCACTGATTACAGTCAGCTGCCACATTCAGCACCACAGGCACCTTCCTGCTGGCAGAGGCTTTTGCAAGGATCGCCTTTTAAAGCCAGAAGCACGTCTCCACCCTGGGAGAGAGTGCACCTACAACTCTTAATTCATAGGTGCGTTGGTATTGTTAGCCAGCATTCCTCCTATTTTAGAGGAGCATTTATCAGCAAGAAATTAGTGTCTGCTCTTCTTACACTCTTCAGTTCTGGGAGGATGAAACTCCTGCATGAAAAGCTTGACGGTGCTTTATTTCTGCCCTATAATTGGCTCCCTGAAGCAAATGTAGAGTCACAGCAACTACAAAGAAAAAGCAGGGTATCCAAATGCAGAGCCCTTCCTCTGCTCACCTCGGTAGCTGAGGCTGATAGAGGAGCCAAATAAGGGGTGGGGGGAAGTGTATTTTTTTGTACTTAGCTTCATTTCCATGCATATGTTAAAGCTACTTTGAGCTATTTCAGTTACACTGTTTTTGAGTGCACAGATCCAATAATCAAAAAAATTACACAAGAAGTAGTACCGGTCAAATTGTTTGTGCATTTAACCCCTCCTAAACTCTACGTAAACTATTTTCATTACGATGCTTCAATATTTTGGACTTCCTACCCATCTTGGGTCTACCCCTGCCCCCTGCTGCTTGTTTCAATGTAACACCCCTTTTCCATCCTTCATTTAATTCAGCCATTCCTCTTTGCCATCTTCAGCCTTTGACATCTCTTCACTTGCCTGAGCTGGATTTTCTCCTTTGAACTCATCCTATTTAACAATTGCTCTGCTCTTCAGACGACCACTTGCTTTAAACACCAGCACACGTAACTCCTTCTCCAGACAGAGCAGCCCGCGTGCTCCTCCCTCAAAGAAAGGATACTCTTGAGACAGGTCTACACATGAACAAGGACATGTTCATGTTAAAATACACCGAAGCGCCACTTGCGTGTGCGGTCGTGCTTCATTGTCACCAGCCCGCCTCGGTAACAGGTGGTAGCACAACCCATCGGCTCCTTCCCTGGGCGCGCAGGCAATACTCACTGGCGTCTCCTTCCCTTCCCCGAGAGGCACGGTTAGATTAGCTTCTGTCTTTTCTGGGAGATTCTGCCTAGTTTGGGGGGGAAAAAAAGAGCTTGGGCTTAAAAACACAGCTCTCTGTGGGAAAGGAAAGGGCCTGGCTTCTCTCTCCACCTTCTGCTGGGAGTGACAAACTCTGCTATGGAGCTGGGGGCTCGGAGTAGCTGTAGCTTCTCCGGGTAAGAAGTCAGTATGGAGTCCCCCCTCTCCCCACAGGTTGAAGATCGAGTCTGTACCTCTGCAACCAAACTCCATTTCATCTTCTCCCACGTACAGTCTCTCCACTGTCAGCCTCTCTCCTGGCATTGATCAGGTTTTCAGATATGTGAGCTAGGCTCTGGCCTAGCTGTTTCTCTTCTCCATTCAGGCTTCAAATAAGGTGACAGCTGCTGGCTTTCACTTCCTTGGCCACTAGTGGTCTTGCTTTTTCAAACCTGAAACAGCAAAGGCGGCCGAAATGCACGTAGCAGCTGTGGAGCCTCTGCTGCTGTGCCCCAAGCCTGCCTTCGCCAGCCCTCGGCACATCCGTATCGTTCCTCTATGAGGTGACTGAAGCACTCGCAGTTTACTTGAGACATGGTGGAAGCACACGCATGACTCCAGGCAGCTGAACTAACTCTGAGTAATTCAGAGTCACAAGTTAGAATTGATTATGTGACTACATAACCAAAACAGCTTACCCTTTTTAAACTGAAAAAATATGAATGTTTTCTCTTTGAATCTTCCCAACCTCAAACTGCTCCAGCATTTACAGGAACAAAGTTTTAAATCAAGCTTTCACTTCAACAAGTACAGCTTCCTCATAGATCCTTACCTGCCCCGTCAGACTAGTGATGGAAAATCGAGTAGCAGTTCTCTAGCACTAGTTAACTACTGCTAATTCAGTAGTAAGGAGCTTCCCTTCATTACCACTTAGAGACCCCGAGGTCCTCCTTTTGGGGACAAATTGCTGGTAGTTGTGCAAGTACCACAAATAAGAAATCTCCTCGTGACCTTTATTTCTCTTTAGTTTTGTAAGCCGTTGGGATCCAGTTAAACAAGGTCAAATTGCAATCCAATTAACATTATCTATTCAACAGTGTTTGGAGAGTTCTTTTTACTGCAAGACTTTCTATTAGTAAAATGTTCATTAAATACAGTATATTTTAAAATAAGATTAATACAAAGCTAGTCCTTGAAATAGAAACCATCAGTAGAAGGATCTTGTGCTAGCAAAATGTGCAAACAGGTACTTAAAAATGTACAGACCAGAGGCCTTGTATTTAAGTAGAACAACTAAAAAAACCTATTTTTGAGGATACTGGAACTTCAGCCTAATGTCAAGAAGCAGAATTAAATAATTCAAAAACACCACCAGAAATTGAAGTTACTTATAGTCCTGTAGTTAAGCCCCTGAATTCAAAATAAAAACCTCTTTAATCAATGAGAAAAATACCACCGTGCTTTGTGTGTGTGACATCCAGTGGTTTAAACTTGAGTGCTGTTGTCCCAGTTAGATGAATGTTGAAAGAGGTATGATTTTTCCCTTCTTTGCAGTGTTCTGCCAACTGTGTAATTTTTAGGCATTTTTTGAACCACTCTAGATGCACGTTTGATACAGAACGTAGTTCTTTGTACAGCATTTTGATTTGAAGACTAAGAAAAATTGTCAGGCACAAATCAAGGGAAAAAGCAGCAAATCACTTACGGAGCTCTTGCTTTAGAAAAACAGGAATCAGGGGAATTTAGAATGCATTTCTCACCTTGTTACCGGATTACTTGACTACTTCTAAATAGGGATGAAGGCGGTTAAGAAGAGAAATAACTACTTCCTACATTTTTAAGAACACTGAAGTACTTGGAGAACACTGGCACAGAAACTGTATTACACGTGTACATTCACTTGTAAATATTTTAATGTAGCTCCAAACATTAAAATGTTGGTAATTTTACAGAATTCCGTTAGGTATCAGTCCCCAAATACAGTTACTTGTATAAAAAAGCCCCTCTATTAAGGTATTGGCACTTTGTAAGGTTATTTAGTGACATTTGTTGGCCAATGACCCCTGCTAGTTGTCTACAGTTTCAGTTCTTTCTCACAACATACTTTACAACAGTGAGTTGTATCTGGAATCACCTGGAAGGGTCAGGAGGTAACGTCTAATTCCAATTTTAGTGAAGATAGCCACTGAAAGATGTACATTTTACCTGTTTTTTTCTCTTCTTCTATCTTCTGAAGCCCCCACTACTACTGATGAACTGTTGATTGGCAAAGAGAACATAAATGTGAGTGAACAGGAAATTGCGTTTTATATTGGAATCATCTGCCTTACACAAATTTACCATGGGATTTGTTTACCCAGTGTGCCTAAAATAGGTACAAGATGTGCTTATTGCTTAAAGATCTGCAAGAGTTAATAAAATTCGGAAAAGAGTATCATCAGTAAGTATGCTATTTGAGATAAATACAGATAACAGCCATCTTATCTAAGCTTTCCAATTTCAGCCTGTTTAAGCCCAAATACCATTTTCATGACGCTACAAGCTCAATGACAAAATAACATAAGACACAATAACTTCTCCAGCAAAGATACGTGGACAAGAAAGTCTTACAGAGTAAAATCTGACCAAGTGGAACATTTGCCCTGACCTAGACACAAACCTAGTTTGCTGAGGTCGGGTCACAGAAAAACCCAAGTATGTTTTTTGTCCCTACTTTTCAATGTAAAGCGTAGCTCTAGGAGATAGTGTAGGGCAGTTCCCACTCCGTACAGTGAACGGAATCTTGTAATTCATTTCTGTGGGTTAGCAAGCCTGGGCCCTGTAGTTACTTAAAACATCAAGATACTGGTATGCTAAGGAGCAAAATAAACACAATGCCAAAGAAATGCTGAACTGAGCAATGGAGTTAGCGATGGCAATTAGCAAAATCTGTTGTCTTGGCAAAGTATCAGCAACTTGGAGGATTCTTGAAACGTAGGTCTTATTCACAGGAGCAGTCCATGGTCAGCCCGGCCCCGTCGCTGCCATTGCAGCCGTCCGATATCGGAGCACCGTCTCCCCACTGTGTTACCTGATCTGCACAGCACCCAGACGTACTCTGGCTGAGGCAGACCTGTGCGTCATTGTCATCAGTATCACAACTGGCAGGACATGTTTCTTCTGACACCCCGTCATGATGGGTACCTCTGCTGTTGGTCCCACCTACCTCATCTCCCAAGTCTATGACATCATCCAGCTGCTGTTCTGGATCAGGCTTGGCTTCTGCTGAGATTTGTGCTTCTAAGTTTCTTGTGTTCTCTGTGACTTCAAATTCCTGCTTCTCCTCTGCCGTTTGCTTCTCCCTAGTGCTTAATTTAGCCTTTGTGGATTTCTTCATTTGTTTGTTGCGCATGTCCTCTTTGGAGAACCTCCAGTGGAACTGCAAGTAAGAGATCCAAATGTTAAAGACTGTTACAGACAATCTCACATAGACATTCGCTTTCCTGAGTAGAAATGTTTTTATTATTTAGTTTTAATTCAAAGACTAGTTTGACCAAAAAGACCTAAGATTTTAAAGAATTGCATGACTAAATTAGACAGCTTAAGATCATTTGTGCCTACACATTGTATCTATTTCACAGAGAAAAGAGACATGATGCATTTCTGCTTCTGCTGTTTCACATGCCTGGTGGGTTCCTCTCAACACACTGTATCACTGTTGAGGCCTACAGCATCCTGGCAGAAAACCTGCACTGTCTGCAAAGCAAGACTATGCAAAGCTGCACAAGCGCAGACGGAGGAAGCAATCCTGTGGCGTTATTCCAATGTTTCTCACCAGGTTAGCAGCAGAACTCACACCATTCCCTAGACTATACCCAAAGAGTAAAATATTCTGAATCACTTGTATGAATGTTTCTTGACGGAAAGCATGAAGCTGCCTCTTGCAGCACTCGCCACGAGACTAGTCACAGCAGCCATTTATTGAAGAACTGTTTTAACTACTATTAAAAAACCCCCCACAGGAGAACTAGCAGTACCTTGAAATACTGACTCAAGAGGTGTAACATACATAAAGGCTGACAAATATGCCACTAATGTATGTGCTTCATTTGCCAGAAAATAAATGGACCTTCCCAAGGAGGCCCAGATATGTTCCAAGCCACTGCTGAGCCATCCTACGCAAGTTTGACAAGTGCATGTGAATGTGCACAACCATTTCGTCAGCAGTGTCCACGCTGATGAAAACTCAGGGATGGGTTAGGAGGTGATGCCTGGATAGCACACATAATCTCACCAGGACATACTGCAAATTCAGCTGCGGTCCAAAAGCCATTTTTTTCCAGTGCAACCAGGTCTGTGCCAAAGTTGGTCAAGAGAAGGACTGGTGTTCATAAATTTTTGATTTAGCTATTTATTCCTTAATCAAAAAGCCATTCAAAACCTATTAAGTTTATTAGATTACAAAGAGAGAGCACTGCTTTTTCCTTCTGCTGGCCAGAACTTAATGTAAAAAGGAAAAAACAAAAACAAACAACAAAAAACCCCAGAAACTGGCTTTCACAAGATTCTTCTTGTTTTTACTTAGGGAAAGCTCTCTTTTCTCTATTTCAGTTCTAGAGCTCAACTGCTTAAAATTCAGACACAGCTCAGTATTTTCCTCTTTGATTTGCCAAAGTGCTGGGCACCCCCAGCTCCCCTTCTCTCTTTGATGGAAGGTAAGATCAGGGCCCTGAACGTGATAAAGATCAAACTGTAGGAGACTCTGTGTGTATGTGCAGATGTATGTATACTTAGTCAGGTATTTATATTGTATTTTACAATAATGCATACAGCCAGTTTCTGCTGAAGTAAGTATCACTTTTGTATAAAGTGAATGAACACGATTACCTCATCACTGACTGAATATTGCATTAATAAGAGTCCTTCTGTCTCACTGAGAGAAAAATAAGTTGTACCACTTCTGGCATCTTTCCGTTTCTGCTCCTCTGGCTAAACTGAACAGCAGTTGGTTGATGTGCACAGATAGGATGAATCAGTTTCCAACACTGCAATGTCCTTTTAATCTTATCAGCCTATTTCCCTCCTCCAAGGGGTTATCTGTAAACATTTTAAACATGCTGTATCACAAGTTAAAAAAACCCTGAGAGCCTGTGGTGTTGTATGCGGAGAATATTCAGCAACTTAATCAAATGCTGGGTTTGGCATCTTTGAAGTGACTCACAACAACCACTTACAGACGTTGAACTGGTCTTACTATATAACTATAATCAATGTACCCCATTTTTCCTTGACCTTTGGTATGAAAATGTGCTGTAGTAATTTTTGCCCTCAAATACATCTGTATATTTAATACTGCCAACAAGTAAATCCATTGTTTTGTCAACCAGACATTGTTAAATAAGTTTTTATATCCCCAAATGAAAAAATTTAAACAAAGTTTTGAGTCATCGGGATGGTATGCTTTTGTTATTATAATACAAGGAATCAGTATCACACTAGTTTCTCTATTTGAAGACATATAATTGCTTATAGGTTCCCACCCTTTCCATTAAAACCACAGACAGTGGTAGGAAAAGAATGACCAAATGCAGGCACTCCAACCCTTGCCCCAAAATCCCTTTAATCACCTGAAAACAAAGAGAAAACCAAGAAAGAAGGGCTTTGTAACATGTTCACAGAACACTCCAGGCTCCAGCTTCGCTAATGAGAGAGGGTAAATCCTAAATCACAGTCATACTCCCAGCCGTCCTCTCCTACTTCAGTCAGTTCAAACACTCTCCTGGTCTCCACTGTATCTAAAAGATGGCTTGCACAGAACCTGGCTCCAAAACAGTGAGGGCTTCATCTTTATAGATGAAAACTATCTGTAGTTCTCCAAAAGTTGGGTAAAATGCTCTTAGTGCTCAGCTCTGCTTAGCATTTCCCATCTCCTACACCCTAGCTCAACTTCTGCAGGGCCTCGAGCGCACCACTCATTCAGATGTCGTTTGGCTAGCCAGCACTCACGTTAAGTGCATGGAGCTAGAATAAAAACGAGACTGTATTAATTAGCAACCTTTTAATCATCTGGTTTCAGAGATCCTTTCCATACTTCACCTGGCTTTTCTGATCCCCTGCATACTGAAAGGGCAAGGCAAATTCGGCTACTGTAGGAAGGTCCACGCTCCCAGTTTCCAGTTTAAACCAGTCCTTGTATTTCCCTCTCAGCTGTACAGCGTGACAGATTTGGGCAGGGGTTCCCACAGCTACACATTTAAAAATGGAAATGGGAATACCTATGTGTACCCACATACGTACATCATTAGCTGTCAGCTACATTCTCGGATAATTTACCTGGATTCGTGGGGCTTTTGGGGGGTTAAATTCTAGCAGAATTCATTAACATTCACACAATAGATAGAGACACCAGCCAAGATCAGGCCTGCAGCAAGCTAGGCTCTATCACAACATGTAGCAAGAAAGAGAGAGCAATTTAAATAGAAAAGACAGGCAGTGAGTGAGAGAAAATAGTATTAGTTCCACCTTGCAGGCAGTGAACGTGGGCAGAGAATTTTAGGTCACGTATGGAGGTTTATGGCCCAGCTGTAAAAAGAAATCTACATCTCTTCTGCTGCCACGAGTTCAACAGAGAATGAAATATAAGAGCTTTCACATAATTTGAGAATTTTGTTTCTCTCATTTGAACAGCTTCAATTCCTTGTGTCTTGCTACCGTAGCACAGAAACGTTGAATAGGCCATTTTTACATCTATGGGAAATCAATTACAATATTAAAATACCTCCAACAAAAACCCAAAGAAACCAGGAACTCAAGGTTATTTACCTTAGATTCTTTCTTCTTTGCTTTCTGGGGCAAAGAAGGTCTCTGAAGAAATACAATTTGCTTTGTAGATAAATTCCCCTCCCTGAAAAGAAACAAACGCACACTCCTGAGAATGAATTAAATTCACATCCAGCATCATTCAAAGTGAAAATCCATCTCAGTCATTTATTTCTGCAGGTCAAAGAACAACAAAATGAAGAATGACCTAAACATTGCCTGTCTCCAGCGTCTTTGAGCAGCCTGGTATTTTTGGGGAAAAAAAGAGCAACTGTTCAGCCTGAGAGAGCCTGTCAGCCTGTGACATACTTTTGCTGAATGTTTTAGCATTAGTGTGTAAACACAGAATAAATAATTGTTTGGAGCAAAAAGCGAGAAGTCTGAGCCCCCTGGTGCGGGTGTGTAGTAGCGTCTCAGCGACACCGGAGTGCTCCCTCTCTCCCTCCCAGGGCACCGATCCAGAATGGGGCTGGGTGCTCCCTACAGGTCTCCGGCACGGCAGGAGGCACAACCAAATGCCACCGGCGGTTAGGCTGGGTGGGTGCCCTTCTGCACCGTCAACCTGCCCCGTGTTACTGAACTTGTAAATGGGATACAGAAAGCTAGAAGAGAAAGAAAAAAAAATATATACCTTTAAGAGACAGGGCTTAGAAATCATCATTGTGATTTTTCTATTCATTCCTGTATTTAAACTCATACGAAAAACTTAAATACCATTTTTCCCCCAGCACAGATGGCATTTACTTTCTAGGCTTTTATGTGTAGGAGTAGTCTTCATGTAGATCTCATAAAGAACTGGGTGTATAAGATAAAAAGTCATGACTGATTATATTGGTGTATATATAAATATATTCCTGACCAGTGAAAATCCAGAATGTGCCACCTTCATGATTAACAAGTGGGATGACTGTTTTTCACCACAGTTATGAAGAATATTTTTAAATGACTTGCATTTATATTTAAAAACTCAGAATTTTAATAATAGCAAAGTAGACTGCAGAATGATTATACATATCAACAAGGATACTAGAGTAATGCTACACCAGTCTCACATGGTTCTGCTCAGCTAGGCTGTGTATATCAGCAGCATTAGACAGACATTGATTAAGAATAAAGCAACTTTTCTTCAGATAGGCAACATCTCACTCCAAACGTTCGAAGAAGAGCTACTGGGAGATCCAGAGCAGGAATTTTACAATCAAGATGTTTACAGAGAGGCAGAGACAATACCCAGAAAATTCATGCAGAAACCACACTGCCACCTCGCAGTATCTTCCTCACCAGACATGTGCTTCCTGCCCCACGTGGCTTGTGATGCTCTGGAAAGCCAGAGAACAGCCGCAGCAGGGTTTGCAAGGGCAGCTACTGCTCGCATGCAAGGAGATCCGCGCTAACGGCACGGAGAACTGCCTGTACTGACAGTGGTGCTCATACAGTGACTTCCCCGGCCAAAAGGCAGCATCCACACACCCCCCTCATACCTGTTTGTCTTCACTATCGGAGTGGGAAGCACACACGTCAGCTGCCAGCCGTACATGGCAAGGGAATTCAGCAGCGGAACATAATCTGTCTGCACTTCAACTCCCTAGGAAAGAAAAATCAACGGTTAGCATCATCACCTGGAGTGGACATTGTTTGACACACACCAAAAAAAAACCCCCAAAAACCAAGAAAAAAATACGTGTGTGGATTTTCTGGGAGGGAGAAAAGAGATTTCGTACTGAAGTGGGTCATTTTGTATGCTCAGCTAGGTAGGAAGGAAAACATTTGAAAACATGAGACAGGGGACTGATCACCCGTACATCCCAAGCTGTTATTAAATGAGTTTGTTTAAACTGGTAAACATCTGTGATCTTGATTTTACACTGCCCAAGTCATCCATCTAGCTCTAGATGAGTCCAGATCTGAACAGGGCAAATTCACTGTATTTTATCAATTCTCTCCTCCCAAGCAAAAAGATACTCAAGTAGTTAAAAAATGACAACATTGCTTTGCTTGGATTCTGCTCTTGTCTAAGCTACAGCGAACCTTGAAGATCTGTACTGAAATCACTCAGGTTACTCTACCATGATGGATCAAAAGCAAAACAACCAACAAGAACAAAAATAAAATGTAAGTACAGGTCTATGCTTCTTATCACCCACAAATACACATCGCTTCCTTGTTATTTTGAATCAGGAAATCTGTGGGCAAGACCAAAAATGTTGCTTTTCAGTGCAGAAATCTGGCTCCAGCTGCAGATCTACCCAGCAGAGCCTTGCTAATTCTCTTTCTACTAGGTGGCAAACCCTGTAATTCGCACAGAAAGAACCACTGGTGATTTCAACAAAGATTGCTTCAGTGAGGTGTCTAACTGCCAAGACTTTTAGTAATTTAACAAATAGATGCTAGAGCATATTTACTAGCTTTTAATTTTAATAAACACAAAGCAGGCAAATGGTAACTACTAGTCTCTGCAAATATAGCTATATTCTTTTGGAGTAACAATTATATTTGCCAGAAAGCTCAGGCACTTATAACTGGTTTCATGTGCACACAAGGAGTTTTAACTGCCAATTCTCAACACTAAGTAAGGCACAATAGTTTTGCAGCTCCAAAAAAAATCCATTTATTCCACAGTAATAAAATAGTCATTCCATCAGAACTAATCCAAATCCTGCTGTAGTTATTTCAAGGTGTTTTAGTGAATTCCAATTTCAGCTATTCCTTTCTTCTAACAAATGCAATTTAGGTCACTTGGTATCTTCGTAACTGAATGACTGCCTGACTATACCTATTAAAAACCTGATCAGGACTACAAATGCAAATAGCTGAAGAAGCTGTATCAGTCCTGCTTAAAAAAAAGAATGCTTAAAAACTCTACTCCAGAAAGAGCAAGAGAACACTCTACTAATGCTACTTCCGATTTCTGTACAGAGGCTTTCAAGGACTTACAGAGATACTGCTACTTTACAACTCCATCATGTACAGACCAGAATTGCTGACTCCAGGAGAGGAAAATGATGCCCTGCAAGAGGGGAGCAATACCACGTGGCCTTTGACCCATGTCTTCTGATGCGATCAGGACTTATCCTACAGCTGTGATCGTGGTAGATTCAGGGTCTCCTCAGACTCCCATTTCCTTCCATGAGATGAATATTTCCACCCTTTTTCAAGTTTTTAAAATAAAGTGTCCAAGGGTAATGCAAAAATTATGACATATCTAGATGCCTTTAAGAGCTAATGTCTCAAGAAAACACATTAATAACACACGAAGATCTATGAGAGTAGTTAACAATGCCTTCCAAAAATAAAGTCGAAAATATGCAACACAAGCATTAAGGTCAGAGCATCCACCATGGCAAGCCCGCCATGAGGGGCCTGGAAGAACACAGAAAAGGATCTGACCAAAACATTCCCTCCATCAAACAGTGTTTGTAGAGGGAAAAACAGAAAGAGCTCACTCATTTAGAGGGTGTAAGACTAACAGGTCAGGAAAGACTGGCACAGCAGACCTTGTTTGTGCCCCAAGCAACAGCTTATGTTGCAAAGAGGATTTCTATTTTGAATTCATTGCCTAAGGTCGGTGATTAGCAAGAACCTTCTCCTTGCATCAGGATATGCCACAAATGTCAAAAATCAGAGGGAGATTACGGCAATGAGGAAGGACATCAATACCACGCAGAGCTCATTTGGCTGCTGCAGAAGCCAAATTGTTTCAGGGATGGGCCATCACTCCTGCCACAGCCCACTGTCCCCGCAGGCTCTGAGTGGCGAGACACGGCTGGCTTTTGGACCTGTCTGACTTGTCAGGATTAAGCATCATCTGTAGCAGATGATGTTGTATTTCCTAATCTCAATGGGCAGAAGGGAAAAGAGCAGGTAAAGCACGTTCACAAGTGTAAAGTATCAGAAATTAAATTTAAGATTAAAGTCAATTAAGCTTAAAGAAAAATGAAAAAAAAAAAATCTGGAAATTTAAAAAACATTGCTGAAAGAGTCCTGTACAACTGTTATAAAAAGGTGACCTCTTATTTTTCATATATGCTGTTACCTGACCCCACAATCTGCGTGTTAGTCTGTCTGGAGGAAGGAAGTGTATATATTATGCAGAGGTGCACACCTCCTCCGAGCTCCTCACGCTCTTTTAACAAGCTCTCTCCGACTCTGCATGACGCTTCGCTGGAGTCAGACACCGCACCTCTTCCTGATGTTCCCGAGGGAATAAACTACTCCTAATAATTGGCTGCATTTGAAAATGATAGACAAGAGAAAGCAGTCACTCCTGAATAAACAGGTGTAATTCATCTGGGCTTCAAGCTCCTTACTTGCAAATACAGATAAATGAAGCTTTCTTTAAGACCACAAGAAATTACTTTTCCCTCCCCCTCCTGAATCATCGGTTGTAATCCTATCCCACGACTGGAATTTGTGTGCCAGCAGCAGTCACGGCTATACGGACTTTTAATTGGTGTCATATTAAATGCTTTCTAAAGCAAAAATGCTTCAAAACAAACAATACACTGTGGGACAGGCACAGAGGAAAAGAGTCATCTTGTCATTTTATAGTTAATACAATAATTAAAATTATTTTATCTACTATTATTTGAGACAATGGAAATAAAATTTCAAACATGCAGTTCCATAAGATGAAATTGCAATGCCCTTTCTAGCTAGCAAATATTGGATTTGAACACCAGCTGAAGTAGAAAGCATGTGCCAGAGTTCTACTGAAAAAGAAGTGTTCAAATAATGCATCTCAAACTGGGAGACATTTCATTCAGTGAAAGGGTGGAAAATTTTAATTAACTTGCTTCCCACTCTCCTGTGGATGATAAGTAAGCTCTGATCACACCTTGAGTGTCAAGAAGCCAGAGCATATTAAGCTAGGTTTTTCCCTTGACTTGCATCACATGAAACAAATTAATTTTATTTATAGTTGTACTGTTTGTTTTCAGCATTTTCTCCTTTCACAGTTGCTTCTGCTCATTAGAAAAAAAAAAGATTAAAAAATTATACTAATAATATCTAGGGCAAGCCACACAAACAACTGCATTAACAATTTTTCTTTCCTTCTTCCCCCCTACTGTGGCAATTTTAACCACAGCAAGATAATAAACAAGACAACTACTAAGCTCTGGTGAGACAGAAAGAAGTTCTTTAGAAATCATTCTTTCCTGGGTTAAGTGAATGTGGTTTAGTTACAAGGCAGCTATGGATTGTCACTATTTAATATTTTTTTCCAACATGGATTAAAAAAACGGAAGATTGAAAATCCCATTAAATAAAACTTAATAAAATCTTTATCAGCAAACCCTAACAGACTGCATACTAAGATCTACAGACAGATGGCAAAGAGGATGGGAAGTAAAAAACACAAGTCGCTTTGAAAGTGTAACCTACAGTTTGTGGGGGAAAAGGGGCAGGGTGTTCAAACCCAGCTCCTTACAAAAAAATAGAGGGGAGAGCCCACGAGGGCGGCAACATGCACCCCAGCCAGTGCTGGTCACCAGTCCCCCCCCATTGCCAAAACCAGAGCTTTCTCCTAGGGCACTGAAGGGAGGAAGAGGAAGTGGTGAAGGCAGGACTTGCACCTTAGTGGAAAAGAGAAAAAATAAAATGAGAGAAACTGAATATATGGGCTGCCTGAGAATGACCTGGTAAAAGCGTGCTGCAAATGCTTTATGTTTGCAGTAACACAGCCGACAAGGGAGACTAAATCCAAGCTCTAAATTTGTGAATTATTTACCTTTTTCTTTTTCAGACTTCTTCCAAAGGTAATTTCTGCTAATAATATAACATTATTGATCCATTTAAAACACTTACTGGAAGCAACAGAGAAGTTTCACAAGTGTTTCAGCAATAAAAGTTGGACTATGCTCCTCCAATACTGAGCTGCTCCTGAATTTCCACGTGTAATACACCACAGCGCCTTGTGAGCAGACACTGGCTACGCATCCGTTAGCTGGGAAGCAGAGGGCATGGGGTGGCTCCTGCACCCTTAGAAACCACCAGTGGTTTTTGGCAGCCAATGGGTCACTGACCAATGCAGACTAGCTCTCCAACTGTGTGGGGCCCAAGTGAAAAGTTAATAGGAAAAAAACTCATAAATAAACCCACAGACAGGCTTTTTGCTCATTATACTGGGCATATGTAGTGTAGAGTTATTTATGATTACTTAATATATGTGAATTCATGCACTGTGAAATATTTTTGAGAATATAATAAGGCTGTGACACTATATGGGGTAGCATCCTGTTACGACAGTTTTTCTGCGACTCAGATGTATCCAGTCACAATTTCAAACACACATAGGCTGCTGAGCAGCATTCACATCTCTCTCCCCGTCTAGGGTAAAAACAACCAAAAAACCCTCCTGGACCCACAAAGGCCACTTCTCTCCATGACTTCCACAGATGCAAATCCTACTTTCTAGCGTATGTATAAACTAAGAAAAACATCTGAGTGCTCCTGATACTGCCTGCACCTGTAACACAGAGGCACATTTGCACAGCAACACAATTTTGCATTTATAGAAGCACAGAATAGGTAGCAAAAGCTCCACAAGGTGAACATCTTGACACAGAGGGTTCTCCATGAAGGAAG